ACAGTAAAGATGGTCCTCTGGAAGGACTGTGGTCACATCTGGTTGTACAGTAAAGATGGTCATCTGAGAGACCTGTGGTCACATCTGGTTGTACAGTAAAGATGGTCCTCTGGAAGGACTGTGGTCACATCTGGTTGTACAGTAAAGATGGTCTTCTGAGAGACCTGTGATCACATCTGGTTGTACAGTAAAGATGGTCATCTGAGAGACCTGTGGTCACATCTGGTTGTACAGTAAAGATGGTCCTCTGGAAGGACTGTGGTCACATCTGGTTGTACAGTAAAGATGGTCCTCTGGAAGGACTGTGGTCACATCTGGTTGTACAGTAAAGATGGTCCTCTGGAAGGACTGGGGTCACATCTGGTTGTACAGTAAAGATGGTCATCTGAGAGTACCATGGTCACATCTGGTTGTACAGTAAAGATGGTCCTCTGAGAGGCCTGTTGTCAATTGTGGTAAATTGTAATTTTTCTTCTTATAGTGACTTTTTCAATAATAAGTTGAACTTTTATAAATTTGGTTTGCATCACCTCACACATCTGTTCAACCATTTCACCAGAATAAAAACATCGTATCATCAGCAAATAGAGTACATTTTAAAAGCCTTGACACATTGATCAAATCATTCACATACTGTATTATAAACAGCTTTGGTCCAAGGACATAACCCTGAGGAACTCCACAACWAATACTGCATAATTCAGATCTTACATTGTTTACTAATATTCAGATAACTAGTCACCCAATGTAAAGCTTATCCTCTAATGCTGTCAATAGTGTCGAAGGCCTTTAAATCTTAGAAGAAAATGTATGTTTGTATATTTTTTAGTTTATTATTGTTTGTTTGTTGTTTGTTTTTCACCTGCAGCTGTAGGTGAAAACTGAACCTTTGTAGTAAGATAATGACACTAAGGATGACCGTCTATTTGTTCTTCTCAGACCTGATGTTCTGCCACTTTCTGAAGGTTTCATTAAAATCTCACCAGAGATTCGGTTGATATTTTGCTAACAAATAGAGTTGATACCAACAGTTAATGGCAAAGTTTTTAAAACAGATCTCATGAGATTAGTTTAGTGTGTTGAAGATGATTCTCAGATAATTAGGCGTTTTAGTGTTTGTAAGGATGCTTAGCTGTTGTTGGTGTTAATCAGTTTAGATGAACGTCTTCTGAGTAGTTTCTGAAAGTTTCAGTAAAATCTCTCCATTGGTTCATTCATGAGATATTTTACTAACAGGCAGATAAACAAACAGACGCCCTTGGTYGCGGACATTAAATGAAGAGTCGGCCCAGAAGACCTGACCCAGATGCAGAACCTCTTATGTGGAAGCAGCGGTTCAGCAGCTGTTGCGGTCCCTGGGGCTGGGACAGCTGGTTCTGAGGCAGAGAGGACAGGAGACGAGGAGAGACCGAGTCTGTTSTGAACATTTCAGATCATTTCCTGTTTCTGTGAAAGAATGCAGATGTTCTTCTGACTTCACAGCCTGCTGGAAACAGAACAACTCTTCAGACTGAAGTTTCTCTTTATGCTTCCATCTGTTTGTGATGTGGACTGCTGCAGCTGTTTAACCATCAGAATGTTCAGCTCAGTTAGGACTTTTGGTTTTAGTCATCATTACAATTCGTTTATTTACATTTTTATTATTTGAATACATGTTATAGCTGCTGTTGTCAGTGTGCATTGCCAATGCAATGCACACTATTGTGATTCGTTTCCCATCCAAGTCATCTCAACTTTGCCATGCTTCTCCTCCTGCATACTTTGTCCTGGAGCTGCCATTGTAATTTATATCTGTAAAGCCCCCATGCCAAATGATGGCTATGCCTTTTGGTGCCTGTAAAACTTATCGTTTTTGAAATATTAATGTTTAATAAATTATAATGGCAGTCAATGGAGCCTTGTATTGGTCCAACACTGCCCCCTGCTGCCTCTACACAATATGGTACTGCACCATAGTTTTATAATATTTAAACTCAGTAGTTCAGTGATTGCAATATTAATATGATTGTATTTTGATGTTTTACTGTAATACTGTCTTTACGTTGTCCTATTGCTGTAATATATTGCACTTAAGTGTCAATAATTGCATTGACAAGGTAAACTTTTTCTGTATACACACAATCCAATCCCTGGGATTGTCCTCTGCCACATCTCCTATAGTCTCATGATGAGCACCGTGGGCTTTCATGCAGGAGATCAGGGTTCAAATCCAGCTAATGCAACTTTAACAAAAATCTCTTTAAATTTCATATTGTCACAAAGTTACCTTAATTAAAAACACCTGCTGACGTGGCAGGCACAAGCTGGTTTAGAAAACATATTTGAACTTGGTCAAAGCTCATTGTGCAAGTCCAATGCTGCAGGCAAAGCCATGCTGCAATGACATGCTACATGGCAATGCACACTTGTTTTTACATCGTAAAAACCCATGTCTAGATGTTTCTGTTGTTGCTGCAGCTGATGCTGCTTCTGTTGTTTTTGCTGTTGTTGAGACAGTTGAGACTTTGGGTAAAATTTAAATAAAACTAATGTATTAATTCGTAAATATAAACCAATATCATCTCCTAAAATAAACCAACATTTATTATTTGTAGTTTGATCATTTTTATAAAATGACCTGAGAGATGCTGACCTGAGAGTAAAGATAAATTAACCTGTAAAACAAAATATTTTTTTTTATTTTTATTATATTCACATACAAACTAAATAAATAACAATAATAATAATTAAAATAATAATATTCTGGTAACTGGATATTACAAAAAAAAATTACTGAAATTGTGTAAATGACAAAGAAATGCCTAATTTTATACACAACTCTGAACGAAACTGTTTACGTTGTTTTATTTGATTTTTCTTTTGTTTTTTTAATAAAAACAAAATTAAATTTAGTAAACTTTATTTCACAACAGAACACTTTACATGTTGAGGAAACAGCTCGACTGTTCCTTTCTCTCTCCCATGACGAACCCAGTCCATGACGAACCCAGTCCATGACGAACCCAGTCCATGACGAACCCAGTCCATGACGAACCCAGTCCATGACGAACCCAGTCCATGACGAACCCAGTCCATGACGAACCCAGTCCAGTCGCWCTCTGACMGCACCTGTCTGTCCTCTCCCGTGGCACACATCACCTGGTGACAGGATGACATCACCACCTGCTCTCCATCACTCCTGTTCCCTGTTACCTGTTGCAGGTGGAGCTCCACCTGTTCTCTGTTCTCCTCACAGATCATTTAGRGGCAGAATGAAATCAGGCGTAATGTTTGCAGCCAGGTCGGTGTGGAGTTTTCTTTTTAGTTTAGTCCCTGGAAGATGATTTTCTTGGCCTGTTTCCTTCCAYACACAGAGTTCTGCTCTGCAGACGGGGCTGTGGCCTGCTTTCAGCTGGTTGGAAGGTGGAAGCAGGAAATGGTTGCATTTCTCAGAATGATGAGACTTGTTGTTCATTCTGGTCTGGAGGCTGGAGTGGATAAATGAAAAGTCCTGTGAAGCCTGTCTAATGCATGAGAAGTGGAAGGAGGGCGATCATGAACTCGTGCAGAAGCAGCTAGAAGAAACTGACCCAGAATAAAAACTGTTGGAACACAGCAGCTTTTCCACTCGGACACCAGGTGGTGGTGGAAAAATGTGAATTTCCAGAAGTGAGTTCAGTTTAGGGCTGCAACTAACGATTATTTTAATAATCGATTAATCTGTTGATTATTTTTTCGATTAATCGGCCAAATCATTAAAA